CCTTGTCACCTAGACGGCCGTCGGCACAGACCACGGGAGCCAGATGAGTCCTCTGCACATTTCTGACTTGTGTTGCAGCCTGGAATTAAACCACGCCATGCTGGGTTCGTCTGGCCAGAGGAGAACTGGTCCCCCAACTGAGCCTGGTTTCTCCCAAGGTTTTTTTCTACATTTCTGTCACCGATGGAGTTTTGGTTCGGCTTGGTTTTGGCACTTTCGGGTTCTTCAGCCTGAATAGAGCTGTTTTACATTAGCGCTTCATTCATTTGCTTCTTCATTTATAATTCACTGTATTTTAGTAATGGACAAACACAAACATAAGCATCTGATTTTAACGTTTTAAGCACAACCGTTTTTTGTTGTTGTTTATGGAGAGGAGTTGCAAGTTGCCCAATGCTTCACATGCATTACTTGGTATAAAGTGCTATTAAATATTATATATTGCTATTATATATCGGTTCTGTTCGTTTTTAAAGGTTCCTATTTTATAGTAAATAACGGTGCGTTCATGCCATATTGTAATTACCGTGATTACAAGATGGAAATTTTCTGAGAGCCACAACGTACCACCTCAGATTCATTAGGTGCTTTGTTTGCATTGATAGTGCGATAGGTCCGAGTCCAAGGGTGTGAATAGTTCTAAGTAGAACGTCACGTGTTGTCATCTTGAAAATACAGTAATTACGACATGGCGAGAATGCAACATAAGTGTCCACGTGACATCACATCTCACATGTTGCTCCGCCCTAATGTGTTGCCCCACGTCATCTTCCAGACTCTTTGTCATAGAGCTTTTTAGATGGATGCTGAGGCTTTTTAGGTCAGGTAGAATCTGGGATCACTGAACCTGATTGTTTGCTGCAAGACTGCAATATTGTTTTCCGCCAACTGGCAACCCACAATGTTAAAATATAGTTGGGTAAATTGCCAATGGATGGAATCATAAAGACCAAAACAACAATAACAACAAAATATTCCGACACAGAACGCCCATGTCAAAGTGGAATAACTGGCTGTAGCATTGTTCTTCAGAGAAATTAGCATGTGAACTTAGCATGTGTCCTAAATATCTGCAAATATATGGTATTTTTATGCTTTAGTTCAGTAAAAAAAAAAAAGAGTATACAGCACCTCGAAGGACTGTGTTTTTGTATGTATTGTTTTATAGGGAAATATTTATGACATGGCCAATTGTTTTTATCATCTAAATTGTATAGTGCTCTGTTCTGTTTTGTTTAAACTGAAGAGATCTGTTTCCTTATGTTGTGTCCCTAGAAGACAGGTCATAATGGTTGGTTTGATGTTTTATTCATACCGATGCTGTATTTAAATAACAAGCTGACAAAGGCATAGAACAGCTCTGATACAAGAGGTTAAATTATTTGAAGAAATCAGAAACTTGTGATAAATTGCTTTTTGTAAATGTATTTCTTTTCGATGAGCATTTATAAGTGATTATCATGTCATTTCTTGGTCCTGCCTGTGGAAATGTGCTTTGTGAAGCCACATTTGGCACATACTCTTTATGCTGGTCTTACACCATCCTATTTATGTGTTGATAAATGCCTATTTTAATTGCATAATGTCAAGTGCATTTCATTGTACATGGGGTAATGCACCAGGCTTTTGTATTTAAACATTTCAATTACATTTTTACATGCAGAATTTTTTTTTTAATGGTTTGTGTAATATGCATATATCTGCAAAATTTCTGTATTGTAAATACCAGTTTGTAATTAAAAAGTGAAAAACAAATTGGTCTCAACTGGTTCTTTTTGATTATAGGCTTGTACGTGCATATTTAAGAACACTTTTATGAAAGAGCTGGGGTTTGTGTATAATAATAGAGGAAGGAAGGAAGTTTCTTCCTCATGACAATCACATTTTTGCTGATATTTTACTGTTTTTATACAAGGAAAGTCCAGGAACAAACTAAAAGAAACTAAACTAATCCTGGGAAGGACAAGACTTCGTCTGGCCAGAGGAGAACTGGTCCCCCAACTGAGCCTGGTTTCTCCCAAGGTTTTTTTCTACATTTCTGTCACCGATGGAGTTTTGGTTCGGCTTGGTTTTGGCACTTTCGGGTTCTTCAGCCTGAATAGAGCTGTTTTACATTAGCGCTTCATTCATTTGCTTCTTCATTTATAATTCACTGTATTTTAGTAATGGACAAACACAAACATAAGTATCTGATTTTAACGTTTTAAGCACAACCGTTTTTTTGTTGTTTATGGAGAGGCGTTGCAAGTTGCCCAATGCTTCACATGCATTACTTGGTATAAAGTGCTATTAAATATTATATATTGCTATTATATATCGGTTCTGTTCGTTTTTAAAGGTTCCTATTTTATAGTAAATAACGGTGCGTTCATGCCATATTGTAATTACCGTGATTACAAGATGGAAATTTTCTGAGAGCCACAACGTACCACCTCAGATTCATTAGGTGCTTTGTTTGCATTGATAGTGCGATAGGTCCGAGTCCAAGGGTGTGAATAGTTCTAAGTAGAACGTCACGTGTTGTCATCTTGAAAATACAGTAATTACGACATGGCGAGAATGCAACATAAGTGTCCACGTGACATCACATCTCACATGTTGCTCCGCCCTAATGTGTTGCCCCACGTCATCTTCCAGACTCTTTGTCATAGAGCTTTTTAGATGGATGCTGAGGCTTTTTAGGTCAGGTAGAATCTGGGATCACTGAACCTGATTGTTTGCTGCAAGACTGCAATATTGTTTTCCGCCAACTGGCAACCCACAATGTTAAAATATAGTTGGGTAAATTGCCAATGGATGGAATCATAAAGACCAAAACAACAATAACAACAAAATATTCCGACACAGAACGCACATGTCAAAGTGGAATAACTGGCTGTAGCATTGTTCTTCAGAGAAATTAGCATGTGAACTTAGCATGTGTCCTAAATATCTGCAAATATATGGTATTTTTATGCTTTAGTTCAGTAAAAAAAAAAAAAGAGTATACAGCACCTCGAAGGACTGTGTTTTTGTATGTATTGTTTTATAGGGAAATATTTATGACATGGCCAATTGTTTTTATCATCTAAATTTTATAGTACTCTGTTCTGTTTTGTTTAAACTGAAGAGATCTGTTTCCTTATGTTGTGTCCCTAGAAGACAGGTCATAATGGTTGGTTTGATGTTTTATTCATACCGATGCTGTATTTAAATAACAAGCTGACAAAGGCATAGAACAGCTCTGATTCAAGAGGTTAAATTATTTGAAGAAATCAGAAACTTGTGATAAATTGCTTTTTGTAAATGTATTTCCTTTCGATGAGCATTTATAAGTGATTATCATATCATTTCTTGGTCCTGCCTGAGGAAATGTGCTTTGGAAAGCCACATTTGGCATATACTCTTTATGCTGGTCTTACACCATCCTATTTATGTGTTGATAAATGTCTATTTTAATTGCATAATGTCAAGTGCATTTCATTGTACATGGGGTAATGCACCAGGCTTTTGTATTTAACATTTCAATTACATTTGTACATGCAGATTTTTTTTTTTTTTATGGTTTGTGTAATATGCATATCTGCAAAAGTTCTGTATTGTAAATACCAGTTTGTAATTAAAAAGTGAAAAACAAATTGGTCTCAACTGGTTCTTTTTGATTATAGGCTTGTACGTGCATATTTAAGAACACTTTTATGAAAGAGCTGGGGTTTGTGTATAATAATAGAGGAAGGAAGGAAGTTTCTTCCTCATGACAATCACATTTTTGCTTATATTTTACTGTTTTTATACAAGGAAAGTCCAGGAACAAACTAAAAGAAACTAAACTAATCCTGGGAAGGACAAGACCTGACCAAGAACATATGAAGCACTAGGGCTATATGTACAGACAGGGCCAATAGACTAACAAGAAAACAAGACGACAATTAAGGAACTAAAAGATGAGAAAAGCTACAGCGAAAAAAAACAAGACACTACAAACAGAACAGGGGATATGCAACAGTTTTCAGGTTCAGATTTATTTAGGTTCATACACCTTTTGCCCAGTCGATCAGTTACACTCAAAAAGAGCAATTCTAGCCAATGGAGTATTTTACAACTAATCAAAACTAACATTTGTAGTCACTATAGACATGCCTTTTTAAGATCTAATTAATACCTGAGAATTACACTTTTAAAAGGTCCTAATATTCACGTTTCGGTTATGATAACATCAAAATTGGTATATACTATATATATCCATTTCAGCATGATAAAGATGTGTGTTTATGTTACAATTAGTGTGTAATTTCTGTGCATGGTAGAAAACTGTTCCCTGTGAAACAAGTTGGGATAAAACCAGCAGGCTTCGTGTCTTACTGCACTGATAAAGCACCATGACAATAGCACACTATGACAAAAATTTATGGTTAATTTTAATGTTTTTTTAAATTACACTTTTAAAAGGTCCTAATATTCACGTTTCGGTTATGATAACATCAAAATTGGTATATACTATATATATCCATTTCGGCATGATAAAGATGTGTGTTTATGTTACAATTAGTGTGTAATAATTATTTTATTACTGTTTAGGATAAATTAAAAGATTATTATTGCAGTTATAGGAAGAGGAGGTTACTGATCCTGAGGAGGAAGTACTGCCACAGCAGAATTATTCCAGTTGATGGCACATGTCTAAACACATCTACAGTATGTAGAGAATTTACATTTTCGTTTTTACGAACCTACATTTTCGGTTGTCCCACCCTACATATTTATGCTTATGTGTTGCATTGCGGATGACTGAGTAATATAATATCAAAATGCATTTCATTCTAAATGCATTAAATTACCATATTTAAAGATGATTGTAAAATACCTGGATCAGTGTATTTGAATTGGATACAGATAGAACATTAAAATGACAGTACATAGAAATGTGAAAAACATGTTTGCAAAAATGCAGTAATTTTTTTTTTATCAAAAAGTTACTTATAAAACTTTAAAAAAACAAATTGAACTCAAATGGCTTCATGTAAACTGTCCCATTCCTGATTTAAAAACAAACTGGAATGTAAGACACATGAATGTAATAGTAAAGTATAGACTGCCTTATAAATTATTCTATAAAACCATAACGCATATCAAACAATGCTGTATGCTGTAGGAGCTTTCAGTGGTTCACACTGGCAGCAGGACCAGCATCTTCCTCATGGCGACTTCTTGGACGGGCATCTGTTTGCTCATGATTCCCTGACTACTAACCTCATTATTCACAGTAAGCAGGATGGTCTGGATGTCTGTACCCCTGGAAACATAAAAATTTATTTAAAAATTATTTAATAGTACATATAGATTTTGTGCATGTAATCCTTTATCGTTTTCTCTACTTTGTCTACTCAAATGATCAAAAAACTCAATTTTTTATCAATTATAAAAACTGCATGTTACAAACTTACATTGGACAATGCTGCTTTAGATTTCGGCAAAGTGACTGAATAAACCAGGAGCCCTCTTTTGGCCTTCTATAAGAAAGGTGACCATCAGTGGTTGACCTGGCAATAAGGAAATCCGTGTCAGCCGGGATTGTGATATCAAAATCATCACCGTCTTCCTCCATCTCTGACTCTCCATCATCTGGAGCATCCGCTTGGACATGCACACGTTGCTGATTTCTTTTCCCACGACATGCTTGTATGACAAACAGCTTGGGCTTGCCGGCTAGCCTCTGGCAGTTATTGCCATCGAAAGGCTCTCGTATTTCATCAACAGAAATAACAGCACCATCGGTTCCACAGACTCCTTCCTTTATGCCATGCGAGAGGATGCAGCACACAAAGCAGTCTCCATCTACTGTCTTCCCCACGTCCTTGAGGAGATTCTTCATCTCAGCTGCAGTTTTATTTCTGTGCGCCACCACCTCAAACCCCAGCCAGCGGAAAACTTCGGCAAGACTCTCTGGGGTTTAAAAGAAAGAATAAGAGCAACGCCATCAATCCAGCTGAACAAATAATTCTAAATAAATAATATTTATAAATAATTACAAATATTATCATTTATGATTGAATACAAATTTGAATTATTCTTAAAACTATTTCTAAAAGTATAAATAAACAGATAATTAGAATTATTCAAGCAAATCCAATTATTTAAAGTTTTCCTCACACAATGACTAAAAGTAAATACGTTTAAGGAGTATTTCACCCCAAAATGAAATGAATTTACCCACTTTTAGGCCATCTGAGGTGTAGATGAGTTTGTTTCTTTGTATCGGAACAGATTTGGAGAAATAAAAAACGGCCCTGATTACATCACTTGCTTACCAATGGATCCTCTGCAGTGAATGAGTGTCATCAGAATGAGAGTTGTTGATCAAAAACAGCTGATAAAAACATCACAATAATCCACACAACTCCAGTCTGTTTTTCATAAATGATTATGGTGTTTTTATCAGCTGTTTGAACTCTCATTCCAACGGCACCCATTTACTGGTTAGGATCCGCTGGTGCACAAGTGACGTAATGCTAAATTTCTCCAAATCTGTTTTGATGAAGGAACAAACTCATCAATATCTTAGAATGCTTGAGGGTGTGTAAAATATCAGCAAACGTTAATTTGTGAATGAACTACTCCTTTAAAGTATCTTATGCTAACTACCTAAATACATCAAAAAATGTTTAAAAAACTAACTTTGGTCCTCATCTGATCCCCTTCTTTCATCCATGGTTGCAAAATCTACATTATTGATGATTACGCAGATACCACGTGGATTTTGTTCTATTTTGTATTGAGAGACCTGAAATAAAAGCACATATGCATCTCAATGGAATAGAATATACTTGATTGCCACATTTACAGTAGGCCGAATCTTTCAAATATGAACTTCACCTCCTGCACTGGAGAGGTGTGTGGCATGGCTGGAAAAGCAATAACGGCATGATCCTTTAATTTTGGAAAAAATTCCAATATACAGTCCTGTCTTAAAAGGTATATGAACTGGCGACAAGTATCCTCCCCCTTTCCCATGAGTTTGTCAAGTAGGTTGATGACTTTCTCCTCTCTTTTAGTAATATCTGAGAGGTTCCTGTAATCACGTTGAGTAATAAGATTAGCCTGCTGCACATGCTGCAAGATGATTTCGGGATCTTCAGATAAAGTCTCCAAGAGGAAAGTTTTATTTTGGCGAATTCTGTTAAATGATTCTTTTTCGCCCATAGTTTAAAATCAGCCCTGAAGAACTGGAGAGAAGAAGAAGAGAGCGGTTAGTCTATGTAAGTTAATAATTGTACACAAAGCATCTTCAGTACAGTAAATTAATCTTATTCACCTCAAAGCAAAGATGCATGCTATACAATAATATACAGAGTTAAAAAGTAGTCAATAAGCTAATAGCCAATAGTACTGTCATGGACTAAGTGAAACAAAAGCTCTGCTCATACATTATTAACACAAAGTAATACAAACCAGCTAAGTGGCAGCTTGTGCACGCAAGTTTGTAAGTTGGACAAGCTTGATGTTCACACAAGGAACATTTCATGTTACAGCGTTCAGGTGAGCCATAAGTTCACTATTATGTTAAATCGATTTATTAATAGTCCGACATGGAATACTTACTTGACAATTTACTATTATGTGTTTATGACTTGAGTATTAAATAGATCGGATTCTATGACGAACCGGATAAAATAAAATGGGTTTATAGAGCAGTTTCTCAACGATTTTTTGCTTTCGCTTTCCTGTAACGTTATTAGGCTAACGTTACTTTGAACACGGAGAAACTGTAGCTGTAGCTAACTTATTTGCACTATATATACAATTATACATATCGCAGCCTATCTAATGTGCAGTAATAGTAGCATGGACGCTTTTAGATATGTTGTTGTTGTTAATAAATACTGTTACATTTACAATTTTACATGTAAATCACCCACCGTCTTATCAGATGATGTTTTCCCTCGAAAATCGCGTGGCAGCGCCTAGATCAATGAGTGTGGGGTTGCCAGATATTCAAGGTTGCCAAGTCTTCTGCTGGGTCGACGTCGATCGCTGTAAATAGTCAATGAAACAGTAATAACTTAACTTTTTTTTTTAAATACTTTATTTACTGGAATTGTAAACAGTATTTAAAACAAAAAATGTAAATAAAAGTGTAATAAACAGCATTTACAATAACTCTAAAATGTAAATAAAAGTGTAATCAGCCTATTTATTTATTTTCCCAGTTGTCTAGAAATAAACTTGCGGCTTATTGAGCAGTGGACTGTTATGGATTTGGATAGCACTGGTAAGTTTGATCCCTCTTTGCATTAATAAAAGACTGAAAATGGCAAAAATGTTTGTGTAAAAAGCAGTATTGGCTGCTGGAGAGGGTTTGTAGATAATAAGATATTTATTAATTATTATTTATATTGAGTGTGTGTTTACAATGAAATTAGCACAAATTCAGGTCAACGCAACTCTATTTTTATTTTCAAAATAGCCTATAATTATCGAAAAAGATCCCATCAATTTCTTGAAACAAGTTGTGTTTTGCAGTGAATGCAGTTATTGTTAGTCTTCTCTTTTGTGGTCTTTTCATGTGTCATTTAACGTATTTCTCCCATAGAATGTCTAAATGAAGTTCGATCCGCAGTGTATCGAGCTGCTCTAAAGCTTCGCACGTTACAAAAACTATGTCAGAGTGAGTTTTTCCATGTTTATTTTTACGTGAAATACAGCTGGATGCATTAGCATTATATTATCTCACCCACCTGCAATTTTCATCTCATAGTGAGTCTTTCATTTCAATCTTCAGTGCACTTGGTGTCACTGCCGGATTTGCGCCCAGTTCTAAATACTTTGTGCAGTTCTGGGGAACCAGTGATCAGTCTTGCTCAAGAAGATGTACAGCAGCATCTAGAAGAGCTATTCCAGAGCATTTCACATGAACTTTCTGATGAGGCGGTTCCTGAAGCCACAGATCAAACCACCAGGCTTCTCTTTAAACTGTTTGACAGGTGAAAGATAACTCGACATTGTATAGTCTGTTTTTGTATTTACGCATGTGCACTTTAAACTTTCTGCTTTCTTTTAGAGAGCAAACTGGTGTTATTCTGCTCAGGTCAGTGGAGGCCGCGCTGATCGCCCTCTGTGGAGACACTCTCTCGGCTAAACAGAGAGGTCTGTTCCACATTCACTTAATTTCTATATCTTCAGGATGAAATAATGTTGCTAGGATCATGGCAACATTGTTTAGAGTCTGTGTTTGTCTCTTTTGCAGCTCTGTTCAGACTGGCTGAGAGCTACAGTGGGAATCAGGAGAGTGACAGGGGCTCTATCAGTCGAAGTGCACTCAAAATCCTGCTGGAAGACCTCAGCCAGGTGAGAGAAACAATCCAATGAATTAGACCCACTTCTAACACATACTAGCAAATTTCTAACTAAAAATGGTCTGGTTAAGGTTCCAGCAATGGTTCAGGAAAACCATGTTTTTGGTCAAGCTGAAGCTGCAGTGTGCTCTTGCTTTAATGGGGTATAGTATATTTTTCCAATAACTAATGACTGTTTTTACTGTATTTATGATGAAAATAAATGCAGCCTTGGTGAGCATAAGATACTTCTTCTAAAACATAAAACAACTCAATTATTCTAACTTTCTAAATGAATTAATCATTTTAGAAAGTTTGTCACTCACAAGAGGACCATCCTATTTTGTGGTCCGTGGCAACAAAAAGTTTGAAAATCCCTGATTTAGCAGAATATTTTATTCAAAGCAACATACAATACCGATTTTCTCTCAGGTAAATAGTGCACGTGTGACTGAAGAGCATTTTATTGGCTGGCTGCAGTCAGAACCCCGGCTGCTGTTATGGCTGTCCACTCTCTACAGGATTTCAGTGAGTGAAGCTGTACAGCACAGAGTCCGCTGCCATGCCTGTAAAGCCTTTCCTATCACTGGCCTCAGGTATGCTTTTTCATAGTATTACCATACATACTTGATGGGGTTTTAAGCTGTACCACTGGCCCACAGCTGTGTGCATGTACACGGTGTGTAGAAAAGTGTTTTAGAAAACTAAAACTAAAATAATCAATAAAAGAAACATAAATGACAAAAAACAAACATAATTACTGAAAATAAAGCTAAAATGAAAACATATAATATTAAATTATATAACATAAAATAGTACTGCTACTGTATGTTTGTATTGGGGTTGACATGCATGCTGTCTGGTAGATGATAATGGTATGACCTGTCCATAGGTATCGCTGTTTGAAATGCCTGAACGTACACCTGTGTCAAAGCTGCTTTCTGACTGAGAGACGCAGCAGGAAACACAAGCCCTCTCATCCTGTACTGGAATATTGCACTCAGGTGTGCAAACAAGCATATGATGTTTTATATATACTAACTAGGGTTTTTAGTTCAATGCCTTGACTTAGCGTTTGTCTGTTTATTCATTTAGAAATATTATAGAATTTGAAATATTAGACATCCAGCAGCTTTTCATTATAGGCCAGGATTTTAATAACAACATAAGTGCATCCATAGCAGGATAGAGTGATGTGAACTGTAGGCTGGAATAGGCAAATGCAATGAAATTCATTAAATAAAAAAATAAATATTATTATTTTAAGCCATTTGGGTTACTAGGACACAGGAACCATTTGACCATTTACCACACATACAGTATACCACCATTATGTATTCAAAAGCTATTCTCAGGAAATATGAATATGTGCTGTCAATAATTAATTAATTATTTAAAATATAAAATAACAAAAATAGTAACTGACATACTCTACTCTTTTAATTATGCTATATATATTATGGTTATATACATTATTCTTTGTTCAGCCATCCTGGAAGGAGTCAATGGCGTCACTGGCCTCTAGTGCTCGACATGCTTTGGTACCTCGACACGCTCGGAGAGAAGCAGAGAGGAAGAGAGCCCTGAGAGCAGGCTCTAGTGCAGAGCTGCAATACAGGTACACATTTAGCGTGTATACCATGTGTTTTTCATTGATGAAATACAGCATATAGATGATTTCATGTGTCTATGTGTCTTTGCAGTGCCCCTTCTCCAGTGCTGCAGTCTGTAGCAGATCCAGACAGGCATAATGCTCCTGAAATAAGTCTGACTGCCACCCCTGCTGTGGTTCCAGTAGAGTCTAAAGGCCTGCAGACAGAGGAGACAGAGATTCCTCAGGTTACTTACCAGCAACGTTTCACATTATAGAGTGCAACAAGGGGTTCCTATAAGAAAATTTCACTCTATAGATTATCATAATGATACATAATAAATGATGCCCCTGGGTTTATTTTTTTTTACCTTTATGGTGTTATAGAGAGAAACAGCTATTCTCCAAAAAGGCCTCAGTGTTACTCAGAAGGCCATGAGGGATCTGCAGAGAGATAAATGGTGGGCCCAAAATAAATCTTTTGAGTATTAAAAAAAAGGGTAGTCTTGTGTACCATGTTTTTGTAATTGTATTTTTGTATTGGGCCTCAGTGTGTTTGTGATGTTATGATCAGGCTCCTGGAGAAAGAGTTTCAAGTGTGGAGAGTTGCAGCCCAGTCAGAGCACGATTCACTGGAGGACAAATGTACTGAGCTGAAGACCATGATGGAGGCACTGAACCAACATAACCAGCATATGGAAGAAGAACTGGACAGAGTCAGACATGTGAGAGGGGTCATAAAGAGGGCAGTCCAAAAATATCTGGGCCTAAATCTAAGATTTCTGTATTTTAATGATTTCCATCAGATTTAACATGAACTAAAAAACTAAATGTAATGCATATTTGTCAGTTATACATAAAGAAACAAATAAGAAACATGTAAGATTTCTATAATTGTACTAATAAACTGAATGTGTTTTAAATATATTTAGAACACAGTCAGTTTATGCACAATAACCAGGTTTCATATATTTATCATCAATAGGCTAGGCTTACATCCAATTTGTTTCAATCTTATTTCCCATTTTAACTAATTACATTTGGTTTGTTCCACAGCTAGCCATGTTTTATGTTAACCATTTTTAACTGAATAAATTAATGCACATTTATGCTGAATTTAATATAATTTTGTAATATAAATGGATGTTTAAAAAATATACGTTTTATTTTAATAATCTAATAAATGTAAATAGGTAATAATAAACTATGCCATGATTTTATAAGTGCATTTCATTTACGTTTCATTTAAATAAGACAAATATAACATTAGGTTTATTGGTTTATGTTAAAACTGTTATCCAACTGGATTGAATTTTTAAGCAGATTCAAGAGATGACAAGGAACATATAACAGGTTCTTCAATAGTTTTTTTTTTTCATTGTCACAGATGTGTGTGAGGGACAGAGATCAGCTCAGAATTGACCTTTCAGACCTTCAACCAGAACATGATGACAGCATTAGTGAAAACGACTGGACTCAACCTGGGTGTTTAAAACCTCAAGACAGCTCCAGTGGAGAAGAGCAGGTTCAGGAGGGGAGGGAAGCATATCAGGAAGGAAGAATAGAAGTGGATGAGGAGGAGACTCTTTATGAGGTATCGGAAGACATCTCCACAAATCTGGATGACACAGAAGAGGATGTCCATACAGCTTCAGGGCAGCAAGAGGAAGTTGAGGAGGAGGGGCTACAGGAGGAAGAGGAGGAGCTACTGCATAAAAGACAAGATCTTTTTTTACTTCATCGATCCATGTCTGATTTAGCTCTGGAAGAGCACTCAGACTCAGATGAAGAAGAGGAACTTTGTGAGCTTGTAAAGCGACTTCGAAATGAGCTTTCTCTATATACAGCCACAGGTTTGTGCCGTCATTTTTGTAATACTTTGTAGCATTGTCTATAATTAGTTACATATCCAAAATGCAGCAAATGCTTTTAAGGTATGTTAATAAGTTATTTTAAATATTCAGTAAAAATAATATAAAATAAATATATATTTTTGTGGCCGATTTTTGTTTTCTCTCCATCAGGGTCGGTCAGTCTGCAGAAAGAAAAGCTAATGACGGCAGC